CCGACGCCAAAAGTTGTCGCCTCAGTGGGGCCGTACGGGCATGCCTTCTTTCAAACACTGTCTACGCGTACATAGAATGACTCGTAGCCCCCTAAATAACTATCTAAGCTATATAATTATCAAGAGCTAATAATACCGTAAGATGAACAACGAAGAAAACGGGAAAAATAGTGCTATTTCCACGACAACATTATTCTACGTCGGCCTGCGAGTCCTATGAAATAATTAATGGTATTGCAATTAAGCAAGAATTCTTTGGCTCTCGCAAAACAAGACCAAACCGCTGTCAATACGATACTCCTAGGCTGAGATATTGGATTATCTAATACCCTCCCCTGCACACCCGCTCGCATCGCAGCTTAATTCACACACACATGATGGACGCCGCAATGTTTTCTCAATTAACGTGCTACAACGCCCAGCTCAGCACTATATGGGTGTAGTAAGAGTACCAAAATTTGGGCATGTGACATCAATTATCAGCGGCTCCAAGCGTGACGGAAAACCGATAGCCGCAAAATGCTTAGAGGCGCGTGTAGGTTTGGTGACTAACTGTGGGTAGCGAGAGACGGCGAAACAGAGCGACGACGGCTTAGGAGCCAATATCCTCAGCCTACAGAGGAGTATCGTATGACAAGCGGTTGATCTTGTTTTACGAGAGCACAGAATTCAGCTGATGCAATACTTCATAACAATTATTCCTAGACTCGCAGGCCACAGTAGAAAATGTTGTAAGGTGAAATAGCAGCTATTTCCACCGTTTTCCGTTGTAACACTCAAGTATTATTAGCTCTTGCAATATATAATATATATATATATATATACAGTACACAATCTATTATCCGAAACCTCTTGGACGCAGAACACGTTCCGGATTTTCGGAATTTGTTAGGATTTTGGAAGAAAACCATTCAATCAATGGTAGTACAGTACAGATATACATACCGTATATTCGCCAACTAGCACAATACTAAAATCCCCATTTTTCAAGAGGCCAAGTGCTGTTACCAGACAGTACAAATATGTATGGTAATCGCCAAACACATAAATGTCTGAAAACCTTGTGCAGCCAAACGCGAGCTTTGGTGTGCAGGCACGACCTCCGCCACGACAAAAAACGATAGGTTTGTAGTAGCTTATTCGGTTTTCAGATTTCGGGCAAATAGATTGTAGTACTGTATATATATATAATACGTAATATACTAAGCCTTCCTCCCTCCATACGGTGCGCATAGCTTCGGTTGTCTTCTGACGTGCATCAGGTCGGAGCTTCGGTGTACGGGATACGGGGTCGGTAGATGTCGAGGTAAGGCCAGCAGACGCCCGGCATGATCCCTTCATTCGATCCCATCGCCAGGTCAGAAAAATGAACCCGTAACACCAGAGCCCCGGGGGTCGACTACATGCCTGCATTACCACAAAACGGCAGCACGCTTTCATAACAAGAGCCGGCAAGCGTCTGGCTCATCTGAGGGTCGTTGCTAACGATTATAAACTGCTAAACAAATTCAAGTCGTGCGTAGTAGCCAAGAAACATTTGTTAGGCGCAGATATGCCAGACACCGTGCGTACACATCATTGTTAGGAACCCACTTATCGCAGATGGAGGGTGGGGGGAAGGGTGGGGAGGGTGGGGGAAGGGGCGGGGGAAGGGGGGGGGGGAGGGGGAAGGGGAGGGTGGGGGAGGGGGCTCTAATAGCAAAAGCAGTCAGCTCCTCTGTACCAGTCAACATCCATGTTACTCGCATCTTGAGGGTCAAAAGGTTATCCGACACTTACTCTCGCATGTCGCAAGATGGTCCTTTCAATAAAGCCATAAAAATGCTAGGAATCACCGCTGAAACAAGGGAAAATGTTTTTTTCAATGGTGCGCCAGAAATGTCTGAAAAATCTGCCCTGTTGGCCCAGTTGACCTGTGACCTGTGACCTCCATTCGGCACAGTGATGCTTTCCAGGCCAAGATCTATACACGACCACGGGAGGCTAGGTCGAGCCGTTTAATTTGTGCCGCAATTCTGCATTCCCTCCCTTATACCTTTAAGTTAAGAGTAATGTCCCCTCTTTACAAGGACACCTCTTTTTGACCTTCTGACCTTTGACGCACCCAGCTTCGACATAACCCAAGCTCGTTTTGACGATCCACCCCAACAAGACCCGAATATCGTGAACCGTACGTCCCCGAGCGTTAAGATTTGTGCCCAACATGTTTGACGGACGGACACCGAGCGGACGACCGTACGACCGACGGACGGACCGAATCATGCGATTCCTACAAGCTGCATCTGACTAATGTCAGATGAGCTAAAATATAATAATAAAATATTAATTTTAATAATAATCATCATAATAAAAAAATATATAATAAAAATTAATAGCCATGGTTTCGTCGCTCCAGGCCCAACTCACTCACTAGATTAACGAAGACCATGCTAAACGCGCAGCGTAGTACGTGGGAGTAAATGCACGTGCAAGTGCTATGGTAACAGTATAAACATATGGTTTAGCTGCTGTCGACCTATTGATGCAACTATAGGTGCGCCACTCAAGGAGGAAGGCAAAGTGATATCTCTTATATATCTTCCTGAACCACAAGCAACAGTTACTGATTAGGGTGATTAAAATGTTGCATATATAACCGATTCATAATGGGTGATTTCACCTGGTGATATGATCGATTATTGTTAAGGGTGCTGGTACCGGTTTGTGAGCATGCGACTGTCGGCGCTGAGTGTGAACATGGCGACATGAAGATGCCTCGGTAGCGCCCCCTCTGCTAGCGCCAAATCCTGCATCTTCGCTGCAATCTCTGCATCTCCCTCCTACAACGCAAAAACACCATTATGCGATGAAAAATATATATGGAGTACTATTTTGCTCTTCCGTACAGGAATTTTGAAAACATTACTTACTTATTGTTATAAACATTATGTATTATGCAAAGCAGTATTGTAGTATTGTAACTAAATGTTTTAAGGAACTAATAATGGATTAACCAAAATCATAACATTTTTTGCCAGTAGTGATTGCATGTTTTATATCATTCTGATCTAATGATGGTGATAGCCAAGTATGAACTGTACAAACAAACGTATAATGCTAAGAAAACAGCCATATTATCAGGAGTGTATAACGTAGAGATCTACATTATACACTCGAGATATTATGCACATTAGAGGGATAGTATACCTCAATGATAGCCTTCATCACCATACCAGCACCTTTCACGATGGCCAACGAAGGATGCTGCAAGATAAAAACATGATTTATTCCTTATACTGTACATGTAAGAAGAGAAAAATCACTGCCGAGTCTGTCAAAGTTACGTAAACAATCAACATTTCCATCTACTTTTCTCAGCCCTCTCCGTTCCCCAAACGAATTTATCCAGTAGCACAAATTCATCAGTAATGACAAACTACACAGTTAACCAAATAGATGCCTCAACTACACTCAACCACTCACGTTGTGACAACGTAACCACATTACAAATAAGAATCGTCCCCATCTATAAAAATTCGAGCTAATGATCATAGTGTACACAACTAGCACACGTACGTTGCCTGTACCAAACTACCGAGGCCGAGAGTCGTAAAGCCACGCACCTGGCCACGCCACGCCACGCCCACCCCCATCTGTAAAACCTCAAGCTAATGATCGTAGTGTACACAACTAGCACATCTTGCCTGTACCAAACAATTGAGGTGACAATAGTCGTACGGGGCCACACACCTGGAACAAGCGGAATATGCAGCGTCCGTGCGAGGCCGCCATCTCTAACAGTGTGTCGAACTGTGTGCCGTCAGTAGTCTCACTGTACGGAGCGCACAGCGTGAACGTCAGGAAATCCAACATGGCCGATATGACGAGCGAGCCTCTATCGCTGACCTGCGGGAAAGCAGACGACATTTAGTCGCGTTGTTTAATCTCTGGTTTCAACGCAGTTTTGAGCGCATTGTGAAAACATTGAACGCGACGAGGTTCGTGAGTACAACGAACGTGGGATCGAGGCATTTCGTAAAGTCGCCACGAGGGAGGTGTGCACTGCATGTGCACGCGCAGAAGACGTTACTCAAACGTTCTTCAACGGATAAATAACGAATAAATAAGGATCGGTTTAACGCAGTGTTTCGTCGTGAAAACATTGAACACGATGAGCGTGTCGCACTAGGCGACTCGTGAGTAAGACAACTGTGAGAGGCATTTCGTTAAGTCGCCACGAGAAGAGAGATGTGCTGCTCTGTGACTCACCACACACGTTGTGAATATATCCAGCAGATTCTCGAGAAACAGCTTCGACGATAAGATGGAGCTTTTATTCAGCTGCTCCTGCCTTAGATCGTAGTCATCGTGCATCGGCTAACAAAACATCATCACGCATAGTTATGTAAACCGAAATTATACTTATTATTATTATGTCAAATGTTGTAACGTTCCCCCAATTTCTGGTCAAAAACGAAAAAACTTTGAGCATGAAAGGTTGATAGAACGTAGAAAAGTTTATCGACTTGTCGACTTTTCTATAATGTAAACCCAGCTTAACTTTCACAACTGTCAGCGACTCTTATCACTAGGTCTATTCTACATGATAAGGAATGAACAACATGGCTACTAAATCTGCAAAGGCCTAATCAATGGTTTTACATTGCATAAACCGAAGATGGAGTTTCTCTGCATTACAACGTCTGGGCGAATTCCTGGACCACATCATCGCATCGATGTCCTTACCTGCATGAGTGTGTTGATCATGTCGATAGCAGCATGCGCCACGCCAGCGTCTTTTCGCTTCAATGCCTTCACGACCTTCATCCCGACCTTCTCCCGAAACCTGCAGCATTATATAGCCTCTATAAGAACATCACCTCTGGATTGATTTGGCTCTGGTGTTAGCTCTTCTCAAAGAAATGTTGATGAGAAGACCAACAATGCTTAGTGATTACTTTACCATTACTTCTTACCGACTGATACTATCACAACACTTTCATGTATAATCTCACTTTTAAATGAGGACTTTTTATTTAACTTTTACGTAAGCTTCCCAATCACACGAGAACCAATAAATTTGTATACTAGGGTATATATGTACCCGATACATGTCTCTAAGGAAAGCTATCTTGCGTCCATCCAGCACTTTTGCAACAATCGTGCCTTTTGATTGCCTACCATAGATTACTCGGGCAGTTCAACGAATGATGCTGCGCTCGCACCACACCATCACCGTCTCCAGTGTGCCATCTTACCTAGGCAGTTTGGTGAAAGCTGCGAAGCCAGCCTTGGAAGCAAATTTGTGCCTTTTGAATGCCTACCATAGATTACTCTGGCTGTTCAACCTAACGATGCTGCACTCACACCACACCATCACCACTGTCTCCAGTGTTATACTACCTATTATACCCTACCATCTTACCTAGGCAGTTTCGTGAAAGCTGCGAATCCGGCCTTGGAAGCTGCGAGGCGCCGCAAGGCGTGGAACTGGTTCTCTAGCTGCTCGCCTGTGATCCTGTCCTGATCGCCCTCCATCGTGAGCAGCGCTGCTAGCGCCGTGTAGATCAACTTCTCCTTGTTCTCCGCAAACAGACCCTGCATGTACAACTATAGTTAGTAACTGGTAACGATGTGTGAGAGAGACTTGGAGTGGCAACCTTGCATGTACAACTATAGTTAGTAACTGGTAACATCTCCATCTATCCCAGTCTGTCTTCTTCGTCGTGCAAACCTTTGATCCCGTCCATCCTAGCCTGTTTTCCCCGACATGCTAGCCTGTCTTCCTCATTCATATCAACCTGTTTACTCCCTTCATTCCAGTCTCTCAACATCTATGTATCCCTGTGTATACCCTCGTTCGCATAAACTTGAGCCCCCCCCCCCTAACACACACCATATACGTATCGCTGTTTTTCTGTCCGGCAGGAACCCGTCGTCATAACAAAATTTCAGAGAAGATAAAACCCGAACCGTCATGAGATTAGTATACTGCGAAAAAGAAATTGAAAAAATATTCTGTGATGAAAGATGAAGAATGATTAAATTCAAGAAGACGATTAAGAAACCGTTGCCAACGTGGTTGATGATGATCAATGGAAAATTAAGATTGGAGAGGGTGAAACGTCTTAAAATATAGAAGCACGCGTGATATGATATGATAGACAAATGGGAACTGGCTTATATGGCACACGAGCGGGCGCGTATGAGCCATAGAATGGTATGAGCCAATTAACGTACGCGTCCGCGCACGTGCGCGCGGGTGTGCGTGACAGCGTGTACGCGCGCGCGCGCGTGTACAATGAAAAATGGCGGGCCAATCTCCAGTGAATGGAAGCCAAAGAACTACTGAGAATTTGAAAACACTCTGGCAGTATAGTGATTACTAGTGAATGAGATCTCAATTCACTAACTATAGTAATTAATTAGTAGATATATTGTGACCAAGTGGTAAAACATACAGTTACAGCAGTCATGAGCAGATCGTATGATCGTATGATCTACTGCCCACTGGATATCAGATGGATATATCACTGTTATATCAGGATACAAATTTAGGATATATATTATATTATTACACGATTTAATATTAAATTATTACATAATATTGCATATAACGAAAATATATTTGTTATATATATAATTAATATATTAATTAAATATATAATATTATAAATATATAGTATATATATATATTATATATATATAATATATTATCAGGAGATATTATGCATAAATTATTAATTGGTTGGAAAGTAACCGAGTTGTATTAAATTTAAAGAAAACAGAAAAACGATTTACAATATTGTTAAACCAAATTCATCATCTCTAATATTTTGTAGAATAAATAATTTTGTTGTTTTAGCTTTATATAGCAATAACTGTTTTATTATGAAATAAATGTAAAACTGGGTATAATCTTTGCAGACACCGTAGTAAGAATACTATCATGGCCGCTCCCACAGGAACTGCAGGTAAATTGTATTGTGCGTAATATTTTATACATTCATACTGTAGTTACGGCGTTCGCATTATATTATTGTGAAGTATAATGGTCCATCGCTTAATGAGTATCACCAGGGATGTTTGTAATCTATCGTAAAAATTCAAGTAACCAACTTCCACAAGTAACAAGTACAACTAACTAGCCTGCGAATCTGTGCCAGCTCAAACTCTCAATCACTACACTAGTAATATAATTGATAGTATTACTATTAACTATTATATTTAGTTCAAATATGTTGTAGAGCGGTGAACATGTATTATAATTTATATGTATTTAATATTGCACGTATTACTGTTTTGTATTACTATTATTAGTATTAGTATTACTGAGTACGTAGGCCTACGTAGGATTAATAGTAATACTATTACTTAGTATTACTAGTATTAGTATTATTACTTTTTAGTATTAAGATTACTATATCAGCAGTATTACTAGTTAGTAATAGTAATAAACCTAAAGTTATATTTGTCAACGTAGCCCTGTAGAAATTAAGGTCTGTGACAGTTAATTTCCGTTGTTTGATGTGGAGAAGGGTCCTGGAGCGCGTTTCACGAACTTCCGTTCGCTATTTTCTTTGCTATCTCCTCCGCTAACTCCCGAGTTGTCTGCTAAATAGCGGAGGACGCGTTTCACGAACGTCCGTTCGCTATTCCCTCCGCTAACTACCGAGTTTAGCGGACAACTTTAGCGGGAGCTCTGCCTGTCCCGCTAAGTTTAGCGGAGCACTCTATGGTGGAGAACTTTAGCGGACGTTAGTGAAACGAGCTGATTGATTAATTCAGGAGATTTGTGATTTAAACTAGCAGTTACTTACCTCTACAGTAGCTAAAGTATTTGGTGTGTGAGGGGGCGGCTTTTTTGGCCATGTTAGTTATGGAGTCGACGCAACTGCCTCTTCATGTGCTCTTGCACATTGCTCTGGGTACTGGCAGATATGCAAGCAGCAAGGTTCTATGTTAATGTGCATGGCTGACAGTGTGTGATTTATTGAATGGAAACCTAAATGCTTGTTAATGCACTGAGCCTGCAAGTTTTGATCCTCGCTAACCTTTATCCCCTAAAATAATAGATAACAGGTAACAGACATACTAGGTCTATGTAGGCTAGACTTGAATATTAACAATTTTTGTTCTGTATAATTTTTTATTGCAGTAGTACCTAGAAATTTTCGGCTGCTAGATGAATTGGAACAAGGTCAGAAGGGATGTGGCGATGGCACAATAAGTTGGGGCTTAGAAAATGACGACGACATGACACTTACTAGTTGGTCTGGAATGATAATTGGCCCACCAAGGGTAAGTATTATATTTATTCCTAAATTTCCCAGAATTAGCTATATTCACTCTTTTTGCAATCTCTATAGTCTAAAATAATGATCTAAAGGTAACATTTTATGAACTACACATTATCTTTCATCTTTATCGTTTTTCCAGACTGCATATGAAGCTAGAATGTACAACTTGAAAATTGAGTGTGGTCCAAATTATCCAGAAGAGCCACCACATGTCAGGTTTATAACTAGGATAAATATGAATGGCATTAATGTTCAAACTGGAATGGTAAATATTGATTTGTTTGTTAGTATTCAATTAGAAATTATTAAAGGTAGCTGCTTCTTTAAATTCAGTAAAAATACGCAACTACTTTCAGTACGTCTGTGTACTCATCATCCGTCGATTTACCTCACTAATTACTTTGTTAATACTTCCATTTGCTTTTTTATTTTTACTACATTTTTATGACATTGAAATACCGATTAGAGTGAGGTGCCAAAGAATCCTAGGGATCTTTTATGGTGCTAATAAGTAACCTGCAGTGCCTCTTTTCCTATCATGTAATTCTTGTTTGCATTACACAGGTTGACAGACGCTCAGTACAGATCCTAACCCGCTGGCAGAGGAATTTCTCCATCAAGAACTTGCTGCAGGAGCTGCGTCGGTTGATGACGCTGAAGGAGAATGCGAAACTGCCGCAGCCCCCGGAAAGCAGCTCCTACTAGCGCCGTGCTGCAATCGTGATAGAGCCCGGGAATATTCGCCGAGTGCAGTTCCTGGCGATGAGCAGGATGTGAACACACTCAGATTTCCAGGGTAGAAAAATTCATGCTGATTGAATAGGGTCACAAACATGGGACGATGGCATGGTAACGGTTATATCGTTGGCTACCTAATGGAAGATAGAAATAGGAAATTGAAAACGAGTGGCACTGCATTCGTGATGCCTCTTTTTGCGACCGTCTTTAATTCTCTGCAGTCAATTCGTTTGAGTTGCGAACTCGCTTGTCTGCTTAATTGGCGAGCCGTGTGTACATGCTTAAATGCACAGGTGCATACACTGGATTGATGTACAATGTCCAGTCCCTGTGCCATTGCTACAAAGAAAGAAATGCATGGCTAGCATTGATTTCTAATGATTGGAATGTTCTAGCTGTCGAAAAAGAATTTGTTGACACAATAACAGGAAGTGTAAATTCGTTTGCAAATCGAGATGGTGTGCAGGCAATGAGCCGTCGTTCCCAAGGTGTCATCTCCCTTGTGCACTCTGTTTCTATACCAACTTGACTAATTATTTTCGTGTTTGTATGTTGTACTGCGTACCTGTGGAAATGACACTCGTACTCAAATGCAACGCGCACTGGCAGTTAAACGTCCATGTTTTCATTCACTAGTACAAATGTGTGGGAGGGTGGGTGGGTGATATCTTCTGTGTGGGGCATAATGGGCATGTATTATATCAAAAATTCGCATTTATTCAGTGTAGCTACAAGTACACTCTGTTAAGTAGATTCGCCATCCGATATTATACAGTTAGTGCCTCTTGCAATAGAGTTTGAGGACCCTGTCAAGCATCACCTCTTTAGTGAATGCCATCCAAGTTTCACATAAGAAAGTAAATAGGCCTGGTCAGAGAATGTTCTCTATGAGATGATAGCTTACACTATTTACCAAAATTATGTAAGCATCATTTGTTTATTTTATATCCAATATATATTTTGGCTGGCCAGTCATGTCATAGGGCAGGGTCATTGTATTTCAGCATCACAGCAGGAGTTTTAACGATAAGGTGGCAACAATTTGAACTGGATATATAATAAGGTTCCCCATTGTCAATCCCTTGTTGTGGGATAAAGTTACTATTTATGATATAATTAAGTATTTGCTGTATATTACGTTTTGAATTATGAGACAATTAACGAAACCCCAAGAAAATGGCACATAGATGCTCACCACTTATGCCATTTTGTATCTTACTTATTAGTACAGTCGGATTGCCTTTTGTACACTTAAACCAGGAATGTGTGAAATTTTCAATATCCATGCTTCAATTTCCCACTTTTTTATTACATATGCCAATTAGTAGATTGATGAAGGCAACCAATATGCAGGCTCATTTCACCAGTGAACACATTGTTTACTTTCCATCACTGGGGTTTATTTCTGTTTAGTTGGAACCGTAGTGTATAAAAAAGCTACAAGCAAGTTGTCTTCAAAAATAAAAAATCGGTACCCTAAAAATACCTTTAATTGTCTGTGTTAATTACATGGTGACTGAAGAGTGTATACATACAGCTTTATCATAGTTACGAAACGATACTACATTAAATGCAAATTAATGTGAAACAACATGTATGCTACTAAAAATGTGTAAAACAAAATCTTACAATTTCTGACAACTTGGAACTTGCTACAGGATAATGTGACAAGAAAAGAACTGCTCGGAATAATACTCATTTGACAATAAACTTCAATGTGAAGACAGGGCAGGCAATTTAAAACAAAGTGCATTTTTTCATCTGCTGTAAATCAAGTTTGCAGAACTGGTTATGCCATGAAACGAATGGATTAAATACTTTTAATAGACAACACCATAAACACTGCACATTCGCCCAGTTATGAGAATGGACCTATCGTAACTGCTTATTTGGTTGGCTATTCTCTATAATATGTAAAGGTCTAGTACACAGTTTTCAACATGGCCTGTTTGTATGTGAGCCACGCACCACGCGTAACACAGTTTGCCAAACATGATCTATAACGAACAAACATACATGCTGAATGACACCGCAGTATTACAAAATATTAATCGACGTAGAGAAAATTTGCAGTATTGTGTAGTTAAAACTGCACGATACACAATAACAATGAAGTATAAACAGTTCTAGTAGCGAATGCATGACACCTATTTCAGGCTGTTAAAAGTTTAGGCTGACATTGCATAGCTCATCTATACCTAGTCATCCAGACAGGTGACACCTTTCGTACATAGGGACAATATGGATGGCATACGAAGTTCCAGTCAATGTAGACGGTTCCAGACAATGTTCCACGATGTGTGTCATACAGATGTTACCAACATATTGTGATTTAAATGTGTGATGATCATGTATTTAATTTAATTTGGGCAATGGCACAGCTCATTCTAAAACACAATTGTTGCACATGACAAAATTTACAATGGAACAACAAGATCTTTAAAAACCATATAGCGATGTTTTCCATTACTGCTCACATGTAGACAAAGTTGAATCTGAAACAAATAATATTAGATTATGGTAACATATTTACTGCAGCATAATTATACTATCTTATTGTTTCCCTGAAACTAACAGTTGTCATGGAAGCCTAATGTAGATGATTCACTTTCAAATATAACAAACCTTACAACATATTGCCATATTCATTTTCCATATTGTGCAGAACATTCTACCAAGAGTGGATTAACTGTAGAGCGAACAACGATACAAACTAATAATACGAAGGTTCTAAGACATTTTATCGGTACTCTAGACAATTGCTGTTACTCAAACAATAACGGTAGGTATCATGAAAATGGTGAAAACACCGGAAAACTCTCGTAATAATTATTTTAATAGTTCGCTCTGTAACAAGCAATTACAACCACATAGTCTAGATGCACCTATTGTTCCTTGCACATACACACAATGAACATTGCACATCTTGGGTAATTTAATTATTCACATTCATCAAACCATAGTCAATGAGTAACGGGAACATACAGCTTCCCTTCAGGTACAAACGGCAAAAAAGAGTACATCAAAAGGGGAACATGTGGAATGTAGCCGTGGTAGCTGTGAGAATCAGAGATTGATGCATGTTTTTGCCCCTGTGGCTCGGCTCAGGAACTTTGCAGCGACAAGCGGTTAGTCGTATTGAATAAAGCAAGCAGCCCTGATTATTTATAAAGTAGTAAATTGTTAAAACTATGTGCATGTTACTTAATTCTACTAAATCTAAAATAAGGTTGACAGTTTTCATCATTTTCACCCTACTGTATACCTGCTCTTGATTCGATCTATGTGCAAAACATTAGAGAGCCAAGTGCACTTACTTAATCATTACTCTTTAAAAGAGGAAAATAGAATGGAGATATCTTTACAGTTTAAAAGAGCAATTGTTACTTTTGCTATGTGTATGTTGGTACCTGCTGAGAGCCTGTGGCAGGCTTGAGATGATAGGACCGTAGCCTGGAGAATTGTCGAACAGCTCAAACAAAGGCGCAGCTACCAATTTGTAGTTCTTTGGGACAGCAAATAATGCTAGAAATAACAATATGCTTGAATTACAGGAATTATTTACACTCCAGATCTAGTCTGTAAATGTAGTTACAGTTTACATGGTGGCTTTTCAATGTAATGTTGCAATTACACTTAGCTATACATAATCTGGCATAGATCTTCTATTGAATACAATAAATAACTACTGTAAAGAAACCAATTTTCAACGTGATACTAACCCTTCTCTGGGAGTTGTACTAAGAAAAGCTTTTTATGTTCTTTCGGCTTGGTTATATGTGCAGGAATGTATGGATATTGGGGTGCTTCAAAGTTGGGCCGCCACCAGTTACCGATCGTATCTTCTATGACCCACTCATGCTGAACCCCATCTTGTCTGCCTAGGGTTTCTGTCATCAGCCTCTTCAATCCATCCACCTCATCTTCTCCTGTCTTTAATTCTCCTCCTGGTCTGCAAAGAAGGAATAATTGATATCAGACCGATACATATCAGTAAGTACAACAAATATGTTATCTAGCTTATCAGGAATAGAAATTAACTTGAAATTAAATTTTTACCTTACCTATACTTATAGCACAACTTAAAATTTCATAGCCTGGATTTACCACATGAAGTAGGAAAAATGTGCATATTTTCAAAATATGCTCTACAGCCATATATTAATTGAGCTACTAAATTATTAGAAAGGGAAGTAACTAATTTCATCATCCCTAAAGTAATAAACACCACTGTCAATAATGACCTCTTTATTAAAAGCAAAGAACTTCAACCATGTCGGATGCAATATCTTGTAGTTTTTGTAGCTCGTTAAGTTAATAGCCTGCCAGGCTCCCGGACTAGCGCTAATTTCAACCCTCTGTTTATTCTTATGTCTTACAATTTAAAAAATGTTGTTCCGAGCTGCAGCAGTAGGACGTGTGGGAGACCATGTTCATGTACAAGCAACACACCCTCTACCGAACGACGCATGCCTATCTTAACGAAGTCCTCCCTCATCCTCTGAAATCTCGCTTGCACCGACGCATCCTTCTCATAGAGAGCTTCCTTTGTACCAAACGTGTAATTTGTGAGTGGATACCTAAAACAAACAATGAATAAAATCAATCTAATTTATCGCCTGAAATTACATTACAATACAGATATCTTTGCACTACACTTATATAGCTATAAGGAGATCTACCATACAGACTACACAGCCAAATATGGAGAGGCCACGTTGAAAACCAGAACCGAAAACCAAAAGTTGTTCCGACCTCTAGCGGCGACAACAGCGAATAACAGCGCAATTCATCGGCAATTTTTCTCCCGCTTACCTAGATTGATAGTCACATGATTGAAAATGGCACCGTTTGATTGGATGATGAATTGTACATTGGGGCGACTCATTCGCCGACCCGGACACACTAGCCGAATGTAGTCGCGCGACTGAAATATTCGCCCGATTTTCGATACGGGCGATTCGCCCGGCTCAGTCGCCGGTGAAAATTGCCTAGTGTCTCGGGCTTGAGAAAACTATCTTTGCCCTTGCTATATGTTTACCGCTTAATCAGGACCACTGTTTAATCGGGTAATTTTCATGGTAACTGACCTGTCTTGATAAAGCGGGAACCACTGTATTGAAATTGAGTGTGGTTGTTCTCTGCTGTGAATTCGCACTGTTCAATGTTCTGCACCTGACTGAGCCAGTAACTAGTACTAGTAGTCGATACCAGAGTAAGGGTAGTAAAAACCGTTAATCATAATAATAAAGTGATAATTCAGCATATAAACGTAGCCTAGTCTACCTACCGCTATCAACGACAAGTGCCGCAGAGCGACAGCGCTCAACTGATGTGTACTGTAGCCGGGTATTCTTCTGATAAACTCACTGGCAACCGAATCAAGTGCGCCCTCCCACTTTATCATTATCATTATCATTACCTTTATCATTATCATTATCATTACCTTTATCATTATCTTTATCATTACCATTAACATTTTCATTATCATTATTACTACTGTTGTTGTTTTAGTCACATTACATTGGCGGCAAGTGTAAGAACATGAGCTTGCAAGCTCCTCACCATCGACTAAGTACTATTGCGGTAGTAGTCAGTGTAAGTCACACTAGCATTAGGTGTGCATACCTAACGGCTGTGTCAGGAACCTCAGGTGTACACTCTCCACCTCTTCGTCGACGGGCACCGTGAACGGCCCGAGACGATAACCGCGCGGTGTCACGCACATCTTCACGTGCACGGCTCGATTCCCGGACGCTCGCACTCCATCTAGCACGCTAGCCAGCAGAGCGTCCCTAGAAACAGACGGCAACTATCTGTCTGAGAGTTGAGCGAGAATACAATATATATACATATATATATATATATAATATATATTATATATACATACAATACAATACATATATATATATATATATGTATAAGTACGTAAAATATGAATTGAGTATGATTGATAAACGCCATCCGTTACAACGGGGCAACTCTTACATCTGACAACCATTTTGTAATTGACACGCTTCGAGCCACGTCCTGCTTAGCACTTGCTGAAGGACATTAGTGAATTGTAGTTATATGTCACCTTTTAGTAAACCTCTTCATCATCAGCTACAGAGCACGTTCATGCACACTGTATTACTGTATGTAAGCATGTGTTAATTACTATATGTTAGCATGCATTACTTATCCGTCTTTCAATAGAGCTGATGCGACCAATGCGTTTTGATATTCCGAGGTAAGCCAATTAGGTGACTAATTTATACTCAACTTCAGGACGTAATAAACTCCTTAAAATAAATATTTATCTCTTTCGTTCTTGCTCCCGCTCCCACTCCAAACCCCTGACCCTCCCCCCTCCTCGCCATTTCTCTCCCATTCCCTCTCTTACCCTTCCTCCCTGTCTCTCTCTCTTACTACCCTCCAACATGTAGTGTATCTTCCATAACTACATTACAAGACCATGGAAAAACTGTTAAGCTAAGTTTTTGTAACTTCACGAATCACCTGAGAATATTTTGACTCATAGAGAAATCACCACAAAATGAGTTTGCCACATAGTAGCGCTTACCTATCTGTAGATGTGTACGACCTGACCTGACCTTTCACGTACTCAACAGAAAACATCTGTGGATTCCCTTGACTTCTAACTAATGCAAATATCTATAAACAACAAAACGAGCAACATCAGCCCACAGTACATCTAGAAATACAATCTTGGAGTCAGTATAGAAATACACGGTAAATTTCATCAGGTTCGCAAGCAATATTACACACTAGCAGCAAAAGTATTTCGCATAAATTCACAATAACTACAATACATACAATGAATCGCGAGTAATCGAATAATTTGCAGTCACTTACATCACATAAAGGTCTCAGCGTAACGATGTGGTACGTGGTAGGATCTCTCTCAATGAGACACGTCTCAGTGAGACACAAAAGCCGCCGCACGTGCTCATTCTACATGACACAGAAAATATGTATTAACCAGATCCCGACAACATGGGACGGCATTAACACAAGTCACAACAACTACTGCAGCTGCAGAAACTGCCGCAAAGCATAATCACTATATGTTTTTACGCAAAAACACAAATTTGTGCCGCAATTCTGCATTTCCTCCCTATACCTTCCAGCTTCGACATCCCAACTCGTTTTCGGATTACCCCCCCCCCCACGTCCCGAATATCGTCGTCACCGAAAAATCGTGACCTAACATCAAGCGATTAAATTTTGTGCCCCAAATCTGTTTGACGGACGCACGGACGGACGCACGGACGCACCCCGGCCTCAATGAGATTCCTACAAGCTTCATCTGACTATTTACAGATGAGCTAAAAACACTACTCTTTCCAAAAGTATTATCAGGCCATTCAAGATCTTACTAGGCATCCCTACATACCATTTCCTATATTTCACTCCTATATACAGATCATCTATGCTAAATCATCCCATATACATGTATCTATTCTCTAATATACATCTAATAATCTATACAGCATTTCCCTATTGGATGTCAGAGAGGAGTAGACTTCGATATACAATGTGTTCCAGGGCAAGTGCTTACGATTGTTACGATGGTTAACTCCTTCTGCACGACAAAACTCACCCAGCTTGAACGTCACTGACTTCTCGTCGCTAAACCTTTCCAAACTATGCTTAGCGCTGCAACGACTCGAACTCCCACGGTCCATTAGGGCAATATCTCAGGCTGCACCCCGACCCTCCAACGCGTGCTCGATCACACCTCTGCAAGATTCTTCACTGCGCTCAGAACGCGAAGATCTGAAAATCACATGACAATCAATTACAGGGGGATTGAGAAGGCATCGAACACTTCTCGTCGGTCTGCTGGCTAACGATACGTCGAACATAACGACGAAGAATCAATGATAGCTATGTGGTTACTTACGCATCCGACTAACTTACATATACTTACCTTAAGCTATATACTTGGCAATATTGAACGCGTAAAGTGATTACGTCACACAGTAAATAAGTAAAGAGTAAAAACAATTATTCCACAATTTTTCACAAAATCGTAAAAATGAATTCTGTTCACTTTTTAATGAATTAAATTGCTGCATTATACTTCCTATTTTACTATTCATTCGAAGTGTGAACAAACACTCGTGACTCAATAGCAAGCATGTATATGTCGCGATCAATAAATCAAATTGCCCAGTTTTTTTGAATGTTTTAACTAGTTGAAAAAATAAAATCTATCAGGTAAGACTTTGGAGGAACAATTTAGTGCTATTAGTAACATACTAAATGAAAAAAAATTGCATACTACCATAGAAAATTTGTGACATAGTCAATCTTAAATTTTTACGGAAATCACTTACCAGCCGTCCGAAATCCTCCGTAATGATACGGCGAAAAACCGCCCAGGTAGTCCTCTTATCTAGAAACAAACATCCGAACAATGTAAACGTGCATAGAATACTACGATTTTTACCAACGTGCACCTCTTGCATACAAAGCTCTCCCCTATCAGCCCATTCTGGCCACAATTACTTGTAAGCATAGATACTTTGTAGCTACACCTAGAGTGCATGCCTAAACTACTTCGCCATTCTTTCTAACCTATACTCTTGGTTTAAATGCAACTCCAATAACTCGCAGCATATTGCAAACCACTTGGGCAGCACAGTGGCGAGCGGCCCATAAGAATGCTTCCATGCCTCTTCTCCACACATGTCTAAAGGTACACTACAGTCAGACTATAGACTTGCATATGCTTCTTTTATATGCGCTTATTAAAAATAGCAAAAATCAATAAAGTTACAAAACTCAGCATAAGACACTTTCGTCCATTTGTATATTGATTAGTATACTCCTAAAACATATTTCTACCCGCACCTGAAAAAATGCTTCTTTCTTTTACGCGTAGCGTAACAGAAGCACCTTTCCGTTGTAAGTCCTTGATCTAAGCGAAGCTGCCCAACCTCAAAGCGAGTTGGTACCGCTTGTCAGACCAGTGATCCGGCTTGTCTGCATTCGTATTTCTTGAAAGCAAAAGTCATTTTCGTAAATTTAAAACATACCCAGAACAAGAAACCCATTGGATAATCAGAGTGAATTAGTTTGTTGATAAATAATACCATGACCATATTCCACATTAATAATTTAAATATAAATCATATATACCAGTTTTTGACAGATTTTCAATGTAGATATCTATCCTGATACAATTAATTGCAATCAAAGAAATCAAATGGTTAACAATCCAATCCAACCTTTTTATAAGCCACTTACAAGATTGTGTTTGTGAGTTCGGCAAAAAAGTTGTCCCCTGTACCTCTCAAACAGATTAATGTCAATAGTAACATTTATTCTTAGATGATATTGCTACACTGCATGCAGGCTCTACAAGCATGAAGGGAGTTCTAGGTCTCAGTGAGCTTAACATACACACAGACCAACGTGACACCTACCAAGCGATTGACAGTGTGTAACTCGAAACAATAAAAAAATCGCTAAATTTGATACAAAATGCATGAAGAGCCACGACTATTAACGGAGCTAAATTAAGTCCGTTGGCAATAAGGACTGCTACGCACCTCATGCAACTTTTCTAACCACTCCTCCTACTACCTCTCCCCTCACTCTCCTACACCACTAGCATTAGTAGGATTTTGTCCGTTCTCACTAGCGAAAATTTTAACTTGCAGACAGTAGGAGTACTTAGTCGCCGCATCAGCGACAAACGGTAGATGACTGAAGGAGAAAGAATTAATGCGCCTGCCGGGGCGTCCACGCGCGCCGCGACGGCAACCTGAGGAGGGCGGGCGCTCCTGTAAAAACGAGAGAGCAGGTTATAAAGTTGGAATGCTCGAGTACCCTAGGGGCCACCGAAAGGCGGTAATGCGAAAGAAAGAACGAAGGATCCGGTGGAGAGGCAAATGATAACAAATTAGGGTAAAAAGGGAAAGAGTAGTATTCATGGAATCCCAAGAGAGAGACCTGCGCGCAGTTGGGACAGCGGGTCCCCCCATCCTCCCTCCACACTAACGTCTTCAACCCAATTCACCATCAGGTCCGCCGGGGTCGCTCTCCTCATTCACTACCACAACCTAACACACCTCTCTCCACATCTGAACAGGTAGTAGTGTTTGCCTATGTCTCACAACGTGCGATTTTGGCCTGCAGCATCAGTTACGATACACGAACGACTAAACATGAGCAAAAAAAGATATGATTGATGTAGGATGTGAAATATATCTCGAAACGTAGACATAGGACCGTAACAGTTTATAAACGGTGACAACTACAGGTTTCATTTAATAATATAAACGGATAAATAGCACAGTCAAAACATTGTACACGTACCGGTTAGAAGGTCTGCAATCAGTCTCCCCCCTTACGTTTCTACACAAACTCGCGCCTTTTTAAGCCCGTCAGCATCCCCGCTCGCGACGTATTTTAAGCACTTATAATTAATTATGACGGCGGTAAATAGATACAATTAACCGTAGCGACTAAATATCCGATATATGGTACCAGGTAGTATTCGTTCACCACCTTTGACGGTTGCTGCCTAAATGATGGCCGTGTTGATAAAAACCCCCCCCCGCGTCGCCATTAAATCTGTTTGAAAGTTAATGTGATTTCGATACATATCTTAAAATAATATTATGTCCCACGCTAATTAATTAGACTAACTTACTCTGGGTCCATGCCGGCGGTCCCCTCTGAATCAATTTGACATTACTAGTGGCCAAATTCCAATTTCAATATGTAGCAATTTTACAAATTTCCCAATTCTCTATCTCAACGCTAAAACAGTCGTAACTACAATTCGAGCTTAAACACATTTTGATCCCACCCCCGTCATCCCCTGGCCAATAAAGCGTAACTCCAGCAATGCCCTATTAAAATGATGTAACAGCAAGACAGCGTGCTAAAAGTTCTTTAGCTAGAAAATTCCTCCAGAATGCCTTTTATAAAGATAAGTTACATCAAACTCATTTTTAGTATCACCATTTTCAGATCGTAAACAAGTATAGGTGCATCCATGATTCACGACTTCACTGTGATTTACACGAAACAGTAAACATGCATACATGTTATACACACGATATTGGCCCATCTAGGTTGATACACGAAGCAGTGAGAGTCCGTCCCAACACATGACGTTGAACTAACTAAAGGCTTCAGTGATCAAGATCGCTCTGCTGGTCTGATTGAGAAAATCTCTTATACGTTGGTCAGTCTCTTAGCCAACCTTTCGCTGATGGTAATTATCAAACTCATGGGTTCCCTGCGACCTTCACGTTTTGGCACAATACCTACAAATTCACTGTACGGCCACTAGAAGGAAAATTGCAAAATATTATAAGAGAGAAAGTATTAAAAATACCAATAACAAACATATCATTGCATTGTGGGCTAACTATTTTTAAATGCTAATGAAATGTTCACCATATCTTTTAACATTTCATCAAGTTCTGTATGATGTGTTAATGCCCACTTCGTGAGAAACTGCCAAGTCAGCATTATAAAAGCATATATAATGACGAGATGCTGATCTACCAAGAGGTAAGCTTCAGTGTAAGAACTAACATCAAGGAAAAAGCTAAAATATGGCCTTTACGACAGGTGTTATTAATATAAGAGTGGGCAACTCTACACAGGTCTGACATGCAATTTAATTTAATGGTGTGGTTGGAATATAACATAAGAGACAACTGTTACTTGCCTCGATTGTAAATAACTAGTGTAATAGGAACTACAACGTATTTTCATGAAAAATAGTGTTTAACAATATAACCACAATAGCTCAAGATAGAATCATGTCCAGTAATGGAACATAAAATCCTATATCCTAGATCCCACGTCCTTTGGACATCAATCTCTATTTCCTTGAACCACACAAGATACAAAAATTTTTACTGCCGGTTAATATTTCAAGTGTGTTAAGACTGTAAGTAGTTATGACCCATGTTCATACTGAGAATCTCGCTTAGTACTTGCCACTTCCATTAAGTATTACGTGAATGAGTAACAGCAATATCCTCGTTCTCATCTCATAAGAAGTCATTGAGCAGCTCTGAAATGCATAATTGTTCAAAATAAACGCCGCCCCCACCACGCTCGCCCATTGAGCATCAATCTAACATTTCAAAGTCCTCTCACAACCCTTACAACGATATAACCTTTATCAGTTGTTTTCTTAGAAAGATTATAATTTTGATAGATAAATTCAATATCCAGACCAGCATAGGGACAAACTGTCTTCTTCCTTACTTGCCAGATACTGGTCCCATTACAAGGTGACATAAACAGTCCAGCAATAGTCATATAAGGCCAAATAATGGGTCACCTCAACAGATCATTGCATGCGACACTAACATCATTCTTAACAAGATAGTAATTAATATATTAGCCAAATGTCAGGTACAACAGTTTTCTGCAAACGAGCCAAGCTATTAGTTTTATATGATGTATATACAAGTTTATTATTTTATAAGGTCTAGACACAATAACAGACTCTCCACTTTTCAATCTCAAGATAAACCGCCGATAGAATTCTAGTCCTCATCTACATTGGAAGTAAGACTGGGCGGCTGGATGCCTCAGCAAAAAATTTGTTTTTATATTGCCTGTGTAAAGAGATGCATTAAAAATCAAAGTATGTAAGCAGCAAGCGCAACGTATATTATGAGATGTATAACTAGCAAATGCGAACATAAACATAAACACGTCTTCTAGCTACGTACCACGTCACTTGCATCTATCCTATATTCTCGAAAAATCGCGATAGTGACAATCAACCTCAAAAACAGCTGGCGAGAACTTCCGGTTTAGTGTTTTAACAGAAGCGATACAGTTTCAACAATCACTAGATGTCATAATATGGTGCGTTCAACTTCATACAGTTTACACGTCAAGTCAAGTAAATCCGATCCAGACTTCCGAATGCGGAAACGCTCGCCTCAATAAATATCCGA